CTATAGGAAATTAAACGAAAAAACGATTCCAGATCCATATTTACTCCCAAATATAAGCGAAATTTTTGATCAATTAGGACAAGCAAAAGTATATCATGTAATAGATCTAAAATCAGGCTTCCATCAAATCAAAATGAACCCAAGGGATATACACAAAACAGCTTTCAGCATACATCCACTAGGACGATTCGAATTCAACGTCCTACCTTTCGGATTAAGAAATTCGCCACGCACCTTCCAAAGAGTAATAAATACAGCTTTAGGAGACTCAATTGGAAAAATCTGCTTTGTCTTCATTGACGATATTATAGTATTTGGAGAAAATCTAGAGGAACTCAATATGAGATTCAACACAGTCGCTCAGAAATTAAGAGAAGTAAAATTAAAACTTGAACCCGAAAAATGCGAATTTCTTAAATCAGAAGTATGCTTCCTAGGTCATATAATAAGTGGGGAAGGGATAAAACCCGACCCAGCAAAAACAGAAGCTGTCCAGAAATTTCCGACTCCTAAGAACGTCAAGAACATAAGAGAATTCTTAGGACTCGCAGGATACTATAGACGATTCATAAATAATTTTGCAAAAATTGCAAAACCTTTAACGAGGTTACTGCAAAAAGACACTAAATTTTCCTGGAACACGGAACAGCAAGACGCTTTCGTAAAACTCAAGGAAATATTATGCAGCGCACCCATTCTACAGTATCCACAATTCGAGAAACCATACGTTATTACGACAGACGCATCTAAATACGCTCTGGGTGCAGTATTATCACAAGGAGAAATCGGGAAAGATAAACCAATTGCATACGCATCACGAGTATTGCAAGAAGCCGAAATTAAATACGACACCTACGAAAAAGAAGCCCTAGCAATAATGTTCGCAATAAAAACATTCCGAAACTACATTTACGGGAATAAATTTACAATAGTTACAGATCATAAACCATTACTTTGGCTAAAAACAGCTGACAATAATACTAGAGTACAAAAATGGAGATTAAAATTATCAGATTATGAATACAATATAGTATATAAACCGGGTAAGCAAAACGTGAACGCCGACGCATTATCGAGAAATCCGGTGGACAACGCACACATTTCCGTTACAACAAGAGCGCAAGGAAAGAAAGAAATCAGCGAAAAATCGACATCCGTAAAAATTCCAAGTCAAAATAAAGTAGAAGCCTCAAACGACAATCATACCAAAATCAAAAGAGGAAGGGGTAGACCAAGGAAAAAGATCCAGGAACCGTTAGACCAAGAGGCAACTTCGAATAGCAACAATAAGGGAAGAACGACTAAGCACAAGAAACAGGAAAATAAAGAAAAAAAAGACAATATAGAAGAACAGGAACAAAAAAATCTAATTTACTCAAAAAACTCGATTCAATTTAGAAACGATAACATCGTACAAATAATTACTCAACAAGGCATACCTCTAGACAAAAACACCAACGCGCTAATGGAAATCAAGAATATAAAAATAAACCCCAATCTGTCCGAAAACGAAGTTGAATTAATAGAAGTAAATAATAAAAAACTCTTTATCTTATGCTTAAACGTAGCAGCATCATCGGAGATAATAAAACAAAATTTGATAAAATTATTTAATACATTAAAAGATTTACTTATACGGAAAAATATAAAAATCTTCAGCATTTCAAAAGACATTAAAATACTAAATATAAACTGGCACGAAATAGAGGAAATATTAAAAAACACCTTCAATAAAACAAACATTAAAATAATAATATGCTTAAACAGTATCGAATACGTAGAACCTGAAAACAGAGATAAAATATTTGACCAACTCCACTCTACAAAACTAGGAGGTCACTCAGGCGTAAATAGAACATATAATAGAATAAAAGACAAATTCTTTTGGGAAAATCTAAAACAAGATATTCAAAACAGAATAAAGAAGTGCGAGGAATGCCAAAGAAATAAATTAAAAAGAGTTAAAACTAGACAACCGATGGTTATAACGGATACACCAGTAAAAACTTTCGATAAAATCGCGATGGACATAGTCGGCCCACTCAACGTTACAAAAAAATAATAATAAATACATCTTAACAATACAAGACCAATTATCGAAATTTTTAGTAGCAGTATCTTTAAAAGATCAGACAGCAGAATCAGTCGCAGATGCTTTTGTAAAAAAATTTATATGCACTTTTGGCTCACCTAAAATAGTACTTACAGATAGAGGAACAAATTTCACTAGCAAAATTATGAAACAAGTTGCAAAAAGATTTAAATTCTCAAAAATCGAAACAACATCTTTTTCACCTCAATCAAACGGATCATTAGAAAGGGCACACCATCCACTTTGCGAATATTTAAAAAATTTTTCAACAAAAAAATGTGAATGGGATGAACTTCTAGAGCTAGCACAATTCAACTACAACACAAGCATCCATTCCAGTCACAAATTCACACCGCATGAACTGGTTTTCGCTTATCCAGCTAGGCTACCTTCGATTGAACCTCTAAAGAGATCAGAACAACTACCTACACATAACGATTATTTGGAAAACCTGATAAAAAACATGAGAGATATAGCTAGTATGGCACGCGAAAATCTAATAGACTCAAAAATGAAATCAAAAGAATACTACGATAGATTCATTAAATCGGTAGAATTCAAAACCGGAGACAAAGTATGGTTACTCAAAGAACCCAAACCGGGAAAATTAGAAAAGGATTGGTATCTAGGGCCATATGAAATACTAAAAATAGGGGATAACAATAATATAACAATCAATTACAAAGGAAAGCCAAAAACAGTTCATGCGAACAAACTAAGCATTTAGCAGCACAGAAAATAACATAAGCCTTCTTTCTAGGAAAAGAGCCGACAATGAAGTTAATTCTATTAATTTATATCAGCACATTCAAAATTAGCCAAGCAATAATCGGATTCGATTGCGGCGCAACCAACCCGATCGTATCGACATACTCTTTACTGGACACCGGGGAATGCGACTTCCACCATGCAGACGTCAGCATAACCAATACCACAATACGGCTACTACAATTAGCGGAATTCAGAACGGTCCCAATCATACAATGTAAAATAGAGATCCAACGCACAATCTTTCGATGCGGAATGTTCAGCCACTTAGTACCAGTAGAAAACGCGATACAAGAATACCTTCTAGACATAAGCCATGAAAACTGTAAATCCATACATAATACCGGAATATTTAGATACGACAACTTTCATACAATCGCGAATCTAAAAATAAACTCCACAAAATCCGTAGGAATAAGTCTCGCGGGAAACGCAATAGAAAGCTCATGTACAGGAGCGTCCTATTCCGATAGCTACGGAACATGGAATAAAGTATATGTACAGGGCCTTATAAAGATTACGCTAATAGAATACACCGCGCAAGTTAGTCTTAATAACGATAAATTACGCTTAGCATCGGGAACAGTTTGTAAATTTTCGGATGAACATTGTATCGACATGGAAGGAGGACATACCTTCTGGTCAGCGTTACCGAGAGAGGACTATTTTAAAACTAAATACGATGTATTATACCGAGGTCCGGTAACAAAACTAACATCTAACAATCGCGAAACATTATACACAATAGAAACAACCGACATCTCATTCGCGCTAGCAGCGAAAGGAGATATCAAAACTTGCAACAGAATACTAACGAAAATCGAACACCCAAAATTAATTATATACGAAAGAACACGAAACAATATACTATTCGATAATGACGTACAACCGTCAAAAGAAATATTAAACCTAGACATTCTCACATACACTAACTCAAAATTCGTATACGTAGAAAAACACTTCAGGGCTCAGATACAAAATTTATACTTAGACATTCTAAACGAAAGATGCAAACTAGAAAAAAGAACAATCTATAATTCCCTATCCATAGCCTCTATTTCACCAGACGAATTTGCGTATAATCTAATGGAAAAACCGGGATACATTGCTAGGATCGCAGGGGAGGTGGTACACATCATAAAATGCACGCCAAAAGAAGTGCAATTACTTCACACGGACAAATGCTACACACAGTTACCAGTAACCTCCGGGAACCAAACACGATTTCTAACACCCAAAACACACATACTAATGAAATCAGGAACCCAGATAGAATGTAACACAATTATTCCACAATATTACAAACTAAACAACAATTGGATAGCACTAACACCAACACCAAGACAAGCGCAAAACCCAGGAATTCTAAAACCTAATACAAATATTTCCTGGGAATACAAAGAAATAAATTCATTAGCATCAAGCGGAATTTATTCACAAGAAGACCTCCAAGAACTCCAACAGCACATTATGTTCCCCCTAGAAAAATCAGCCTTGCTGAACACAATAGCGAGGGGCATGCTAGGAGAAGAAAGCGTACAAGGAGGACTAATCAACAATCTTTTTACAGAGAACACGCTATCCCATATCGCAGAAAATACGTGGAATAAATTCGTGGAAAAATTCATCAAGTTTGGCTCTATTAGCTCTGCAGTAATAATGATTTTCATAATCATTCATATCTGCAAGCTAATAATTGACACGATCATAAGGGGATATACATTACATACACTATATGGATGGTCCATACATCTATTGGCAGCCATCTTCAGCTCAATTACATACTTACTAGTGACACTAAAAAACAACAAAACCATCAAAAAACTTCCAAAGAAAGGAAACCTAGCCAGAAACGAGGACACCGAATTAAAGGAAATAAAAATAGAACAACCAAACACTTTGAAATGGAGAACGCTACCACCCGTCTCACTACGACCACCTACGGTTAAACCACCGGTACCACAACCAATAAAGCAAAAGCAGATACAAGTCTTTACACTAGAAGAACTAAACTAAAATCTCGGAATTTGGGAAAGAAGACAGGAACACGTATAAATGAATACAAACAATGTCAAAATAAAAAGAAAAGAAGGTTTATTCAAGGAAACAATAAAAACATATATATAGCCGTAGTAACATTAAAAAGACAAAAAGAGATATATATATATAATAGTAAAACATAATAATAAAACATGATAAGATAATAATACATAATAAGATAATAAAGCATAATAATAAAACATAACAAGAAGAATCCCACCAAGCGTACGGGGTTCCGAAGAACCACAAGACGCAGAGCACCTGACAATACCCAGAACCAGCGCATTCGAGACATTCGCTGTCTCAGCGCATACCTCCCGCAATAGACGACCTAACAAACATCAGCTCCATTCTAAAAAGATTCAAATTCTAAAATTTAATAACAAAAGAAGCCCAGAAGTGTCGGTCTACGACAGTATTCAGCACACGCACCATGACTCTGTTGAACGCCCCTATCGCCAATCTCAGCGGGGAGGGAAGTAAATGGTCACCCGAAAACCATTTACTCTTTGTAACACACCGATCCGCAAAGTACAAGGTACCCAGCACAACGAATTTATGTCAATTAACAAATATTGTAGCTACACATACCTCAAAATTGTAAAATGCACCTAACGCATGGAAACACAAACTACGAATTCGGATAACACAATGACTTAAGTGAAATAATATTTTTTTTTTCCTCTCTTTTCTCTTCCAAATTTACTTGTTGATATCGTACCGATATGCAACAATCTAGGCGGCCAGGTGTCACGTCCTGTGACGCATTCTTGGAACCCTTATTTCGCCATCCACATTCTTTAAACTCTTATTTCATTATCCGAATTCATAGTTCCGAAAAGTCTGAGTGAGCAGCTCGCTCGGGTCAACGTATCGCAAGAACGCTGACAATCCGAACGAGGTGGTTCACCCGAACTGACAACCAAACGATTGACCTCGCTCATCAATATATAATAACGCGACCAAGCCCGCTCGCGACAGATCCAATATCGCGCAGAACCAGTACAGAACCCGTGTAGACAGAACAGTATAATTTTTATCAACCCCAGAATTTGTAGTGATCAGATCACCTAAGCGATCCGCGAAAGCTGTTCGGAATCGGCCAGTTCGTCTAGCGAAAATCCGAGATACCAATTCTAAGACGCGCACCTAACTCCGCGAAGTACGACTCTGCTACGGAACTCAGGGATCCGACAGAGCAACCTCATCCGTAAAGCGCGCGCAAGTTAAAGGTTGTACTCGAACCAAATAAACATTTGTTGTGATCAGAAGTGCGTGAACCTCAATTAGACCATCTACCCTACCGACTCCACTAACCAAGACGACTCATCTCTACAGGTATCCGCGCCCAGCGAAAGGTAAGTAAGAACCCCTACCAAATCAGTAGCTTAGAGATAATTATACAAGTGCGCAGAGGACTCGGTGAGAGAGGGGACCCTGCGACTTCACAATTCAGACATTCATGAGGAAATTACAAGCATAAAATTATGGAGCAGAAAAGTTGAATAGATACATTACAGATATCTTCCAGCATGGAATGAAATACTAGGACATATAACAAAAACATAAGTACTATGCAAACAGATGCAATTACTTTCTTGCAAGATATATGTGGAAATATGTTTAAGGTAAAAGAAATATTAAATCTTATTTTCTTCAATGCATTCTTTATTCCAAATTAATATTTTTGAGTACAATGTATCAATATTTAATAATATGATATCTTTTTCTTTATTTTCAAAATTTATTCAGACATTCATGAGGGAATTGCAACCAAAAAATTATAGAGTAGAAAAGTTGAATAGATCCATTAAAGAAATTAAGGACAATGTATGCATTTGTTGCAGTATGTTAATAAAAACATACTTCGGATAGTTCAAATTCTTTATGCATATTTCAAAAGTGAAAATAAAGATATAACACTAAATACAAATAATGTTTAGATCAGTTGGATATTATACCTAACCTATCCTATATTTATTAATTAGTTCATTCTGATATTATAAATTAATAATAAATTACACCACATTTTTAAGCTTAAGGTGATGTGCCTAGTTTATAAGTAATGCGGTTAATGTGCATATTTGTTAGCACGAACGTTCATTTGAATCTGTGTTTTCTTATTAGTACATACTATTAAAAAATGAAATGTGAAATAAGTGCAACCCTTAATAAAAAGAAAGTATTATTTCGATTACTTGTGATTATCTCACAGTCATAGCAAAAGGAATAGAAAATTTATACCAGTACTATTCAATTCATGAGATTCTAGACACACTATCAACTATGTATACATATCTGGTGTAGATATAGTAACAATTATATTGTTATTAAAAGTATAATGAATTATATCTCATGTGGATATAGTAATAATTATATTATTAGTCAATGTATATTTCATATCTAATGTAGATATGCCAATAATGATATTCTTATTAAATGTATATTATTGTACATTACATCTCATGTAGATATAGTAATAATGACATTGTTATTAAATGTATATTACAGATCTAATGTAGATATGCCAATAATGATATTCTAATTAAATGTATATTACATTATATCTCATGTAGATATAGTAATCATCACATTATTATTCAATGTATATTACATATCTAATGTAGATACGCTAATAACGATATTTTTATTAAACGTATATAACATTATATCTCAAATAGGTATAGCAATAATGACATTGTTACTCAATGTATATTACATGTTATGTATTCGTTACCAAGCGCCTTTTCGACGTCCCTTAAACGCCATCGGTCGCATATACCTGCGCTAGTGACTCGCTGGTCACCCTTTGTACAAACGACCAGCGGCCCTGATTGGCTGGTGCCGGCTTCAAGAAACAATGTATAAGTCCGGTACCTGTACGACAAGCTCATTCCTACAATCAACATTATACGAGACAGAACTCTATCGAAATAAAGAACATTCTTAACCTATTAGTAGAACAATCTCGCTTGATTTTAAAACCTCCCTATTTTGGGAACAACTCTCAAGCCGTGCTGCCTTCAAGCAAAAATAGAAGAGCACGACAGAACATTACATTATATCTCATGTAGATATAATAATAATGGCATTGTTACTCAGTGTATATTACATATCTGATGTAGATATAGTAACAGTTATATTGTTATTAAATGTATATTACATATCTAATGTAGATATGCCAATAGTGATATTCTTATTAAATGTATATTACATATCGAATGTAGATTTAGTAATAACTTTCCTACTATTTATGTTGTATGACAAGTTTTGACCTGCTGCGTAGTTTTCGAGATATAAGTAGTGATACTAGGCCGGTTCTAATTCACTTGCGTCAGTATTTTTATTGCTGACTCAGCAGAAATTTGACATCCTCAGCAAAAATATGATACCCCCCAACCCCACCTTGAACTGAAATTTGACACCTTTGGTTGTTGGGAGGGGGAGGGGGGTGGGGGGTATGATATTTCTGCTGAGGGTGTCAAATTTCTGCTGAGTCAGCAAAAAAAATGCTGATACAAGTGAATTAGATCCGACCTAGCACCCTTTTGACCTTGAACTATTTTTGGCGTCACCTATAGCACCCCACCTCACCTTCATGACCTTGAACTGAAATTTGACACCTACGAGGCTCTCACCCCATGACCTTGAATAACACCCCCCCCCCCCCCCCCCTCATGACCTTGAACTGAAATTTGACACCTATGAGACCCCCACCCCCATGACGAACTATTTTTGGCATCGCCGCTAGTAGAAACATGACCTTGAACTATTTCTTCTTATCGGAGGACGGCACAAGACCCTTCCCGCCTTAAGCGGAATTTTTTCTACGTCTTTGAAATAAGGTTTTTTGTTTACGCAGCAAATCTGACGTTGCAATTCATGACTATAGAAGGTAGGGGTTTTGCTAACTTTTTAAGCACACGCAAAACCAAATTGACCATCACCGCAAGTGCATCGTTCGCAACATTGTATTGTGAAGAGTGAAATATGTATTCTCAAAGTTTGAAGGGGTTTTTTTGCAGAAGGAAACATCCAAGTTCTATCGAAGAAGAGACACGCAAAAAAATAACAAAACATCAGGATGATGTAAAGTAAGTGTTCGAAACATATTTCATTTAACGCTAGGACAAGGTATTTATTCGTTCTAATAACATACTTAAATGGTGTTTATTTGTTCTAGAATCAAACCTCAACGATCATGCCAGATTTTTGGTCGAAAATATCCGTTGACAGATTCTTGTACCAAGCATTTGGAAATTGGAATAAATATATTCGGCAACAAGTTTTATCCCCAACTCATATTATCGGACAGCCGCAACAACCAGCTGGAGCTGAGCATAGTAACGTGGTCGCTGATTGTAGCTGAAGCAGACAACGTACGCAGCTTCTTTGAAGATGCAACAGATACACGCGACAATATTAACTTTAATGATGTATGTGTTGAATTTGGAGTGCTATATGGTGAAAAAGTTCTTAAATTGTTCAACAAAGATAAATGTATGTGTATGATAAGAAAAACGTTTGAGAAAATGGTAATTTTAAATGATTGTATAATTGAAATGCATAATGCATTATACGATACACTGTATTCGGTGGAGCAAAAATTTAAAGAGTTTGTAACATTAGTTCGGGGATACGGGGATGTAAAAGAGCATGCGGAAGTTGTACTGTATATTAAAGAGAGCCACATTTACGATCGAAATTTAATCATAGATGGCGAATTAGTAGCTTTAGGCATTCATGCAATAATAACAGCTGCATCAACAGCATCTTAACAGAGAAAATAAATTGAATTATGTTACAAATTATACTTTAATAAATCATAATGTATTGCATAATTTGCAACTTCTCTCTCTACCTATATAAACCCAAACATCCCAGGAAAAAATTTCTCTTCCTATACGATAGTCGTACGATGTGCATATGCACATTTGATCTTCGAATTAGCACAAAAAGAATTCGTACCAGATTGGAAAATACTTTTGTCTGCGCGCGTTGCTGGAATATTGATAGCCAAAGAGTTAGCCAAAGAAGAAAGTAATGGCACCGCTGAAAAGTAACAAGAAGAAGACGAAGTCGCGCAAACTTCCAGTTGCAAAACGTAGGGGATTTCTTCCAGCACTTGTACCTATTTTTGCAGGCCTTTCAGCTTTGGGTACGGTGGCTGACGGTGCAGCAAGTATCGCCAAGGCAGTCAACGATGCATCTGCAGCACGGAAAACATTGGAGGAAGTGAAACGGCACAATCGTGTTATGGAAGGACATGGACTTTAACTTGCACCGTATAAACGGGGAAAAGGAATTAAAGAAAAAAAAGAAGCGCTTCGGCAAGTTGTAACGCTTCCACAGGGCGCAATAACAAATGTACAATTATATAACTTTGCACGAAAGTTGAACTTTCCATATTTTCGAGGTGTTTTCATGCGTACAAATTTACATTCTTAATCGCTCATAAACTAATGCGGTATCATGAATTTGAATAAATCGGAAGGTCCTGGTACACACTGGGTAGCTTACGTAAAGCGGGGAATCGTGTTAAATATTTCGATTCTTTTGGAAATCTGAGACCACCGACAGAGTTAATAAACTACTTCGGAAACCATGTAACGATTTTATACACTCACACGCAGTATCAAAAATTAGATACGAGTGTATCCGGACAACTCTTGCATTTTTTAGCTGGAAATGTATAAAATAGTTTCGATGCACATAGTCTTCACAGTTGCAAAGATGTCGTTGACGTTCACATTAAGCGGAAAGAATTCTGTGCTTAGCACTGATTACCTTCCACCTATAAACTTGAAGGATGATAATTACGAACTCGGACTCGTTGATTTTCAAGCTTTCAACACAATACCGAACGTTGACTTTACAAACAATAAATTTTACTTTGATGCCGATGGTGAGATCACGATACTGGACGGTTCGTACGAATTCGAAGCGCTAAATAAGTACTCGCAAGAGAAAATAATGGACAAGACAAAAATCATTTTATTTCGTACAAATAACAGCACTTTGTAAAGTGAAATATATAGTGATTATACAATCGATTTTACCAAACCAAATAATATAGGATCGCTTCTCGCGTTTTCTACATATCGCATATTACAGCCGGGACAATGGCATGAGTCGGATATACCCGTAAATATTATGAAAGTAAATGTGCTGAGGATCGAATGTAATATTACGACTGGCGCGTATAGCAACGGTCAATGTGTTCATACCATTCATGAGTTTTCACCGCGCGTGCCACCAGGATACAAAATTTCGGAAAGTCCTACGAACGTCATTTATCTTCCAGTTATCATGAGAGCCATTGATCACCGTACTATACGCATTACCGATCAAAACGATAATCTGATAAATTTCCGTGGAGAAGAAGTGACAGTGAGGCTTCATATTAGACGGCGTAAAAAATAACATGAATATAAACATAATAATTTATTTTATTTATTTAATATACATACGGGCATAGCCCTTTACAACAAACGATACATAACGTGAACTGTGTACATCGCATCAGTCGCAGTAATCGGCTACAACGGAATAATGTATGAATGAATTAATACATACATATTATCGCCGAGTTACGAACGTAAACATAAACATCTAACAATAGTATAAGTATGGCCGAGTTATTGTAATTACGTGAATGGAGGAAGATTGAGTGCGTCTATGGTGGTTTGAAAAGGCTTGTAGCCAGGTTTATAATGAGCGTAGGATACTGAATTTTATTAGTGCAAGTTGGTGTAATGTGGTGCAATGAGTATGGACATAGTGCTGTCCAATTGCCGCGTTATCGAAGAAAAAGTTTCGGAGGTTATGTTTAGTTTTGTCGACAGAGTCAATAAATGTTTCGCAGACTGAGTTGAATTTGTTCGCCGTGGTGCATGCTCTATTGATAATATTCAAGTGCCCAAATCTAGAGGAGTA